TATTTATTGGAGTAGTATTAATAGTGTAGCGCCTTTTCGAACTCGCCAGTAAGCTCAGTAAGCAGGTGTGTAAAGTTGGAACGGCATAAAAGCTATAGCTCTAGAGCGTACTATGATCTGGCGAATCCTTTTCTATAGGTTTGTCTTCTAGCCCCCTCTCGTTCTCGAAGCGCCTGTGACGAACTCCAAGAGTTCATGTGGTGGCCTTAGGGTAGGAGAAAGAGGCTGATGGATCTTCCTTTGCTTGTCTGCCAATCGAAGGCAGGCAAAACAAATCTTCAGAGAAGAGGCAAGCAATCTGCTAAAAGCTTCGTGGGCAAGTAAAGTCTGACAAGCAGACTTACCTCCTGTGTTTGAGACTGAGAAAAAGCGAACCAGAGCAGACCCGAACCACGGATGGATCCTTCGGGCTTTTGCCAACCTCCTGTCTGGTCAACTGCTACCGAATACAGAAGGATCCCATGCGGGTTTTCGAGGCGCGCGGCGCCACGGCGGACCAAAAAAGCTTCTAGTGCTCCTGATACAGCACGAGAAGGAATTCGGTAGGTTGGATTTTGGGATGAGGCCTTAAAACGTGCATGGCGTGCCAAGCACCAACTATCGAATTCTGGCGGGTCCTGTTACTGGCGTGAGACACGACTGTAGGACGCAAGTGACTAAGCTAGGACGTGCTCATTGGGAGGGTTTTGGGTTTTTAGAGCCAATCGTAAACTGCGCTAAGCCACATTAGAATTCGCAGACATACATTGAGGCGGAATCCGTTGTTGACACAAAGGAACAATCGAATAATAGTAGAATAATCATTAGCTGGTTTCGCACTATGCGGTAAGGCACGGTATTACAAGGATCGTCCGCAGGTGGCTGTAGGTTTTTCAGACCGCCAGAGCATCCTAGATGATCTTGATTGACAGTGCATATTTTATCACGAGTGAACACGATATCGTGAGTGAAACAAATACGGGTAGTGATTTGTTCGAGATATGTGGTCTACGTTTTTTTACCTTGTAAGCTACTTTGTGTCTGAATGAATATATGACGAGCAGAGAAATGTAGCTTCTGAATCTCTGTTACTACCCAAATCACTATCAGACTAAACGTACTTTATTTTACCTGTTATTATACCTTACGAAATTTAGATAAAAATATGTTATGCAATAGAAGCGGCGGACCCATGCGAGATGCAGAAGCTCTGACAAAAATGATGTCCTGTATTTAAAAAAAAAAAAAAACTTTTCGTTTTGATAAGCAAAGCGGCAAAGAAGCGGTTGTGCAACTAACACTTAGATTGATCGATCAATCGATCATTTTTCCATTATACACAAAACACGTATCGACTGCTTTATATCGGGTAGTTTACTGAGTAGCAACTTTTGAGCCTGATGAGCAGCATTTGGATCTTTAGAAAATGTCTCATCAATAATAAATATAGGCTATATTATGTACTGTTTCCAATGCAACAAAAAGGAAATATATTATTAACTTAAAATTTCTAACTCTCAGTTCGGAATTACAACTCGGAAGTTTTTTGAGACGTCACTACAAGGCAAGATGTCCTCGTGGCGCCTATACACGTGTCCTTTCGGCATGCCTGGTCTCCTAATAGGACTGTGCGTTTCGTAGGAAACATCCGTCCCTCTGACGATCTGATGCCGCAGGTTTTTCTTACTGCAGAAACGCTTCCTTGCGATAAAAATCCTATTAAAAGAATATTTTGAGGACGTTCAGTCAAACGCGTAATTTACACAAAGCTGGCGTATGATAGTTTCTGCCGCGTCAGCCATCACTGAAATGTATTAATAGATCAGAGGAGTTATAATTAATAGCAAGTTAGAGGTTACAGCCGGTTTTGGAAGTTGATACTTTTTCGCCATAGCCCGCTAAGCGGTTTACTCATAACGATTCAATCGCCACTATCGAACTGACGGAAACGTATACTATGTAGCCCAGCAAAGCGGAAAAATATTGTGTAATACGGTACAATTCCTTAGCGTTACGGTGTGAAGAAACTACTGATACGTTTATTATAATAAGACAGTAGTTAAACACTAGGAACTATAGCCCGTCGATATTCGTGGATACATACACAATTAGCTATCCTAGATTCGTACGTAGACATTTGCCACTATCAAAATTACAATCGCACGTAGTTACTGCCCCACTATGATGAACAAGTGTAAATAAAGGGGCATAATTTTTTATTTATTAGAATGAGCTTGAATTTTATTTCGCCGCAACTAAAACCCATGTTCAATGTGCAGCGTCTCTTGAAGGACTTCAAATGTCCAATCTTGGTAGAGTAAAACCTGGTGCGCTTTTTGATGCAAACTCTACTCATAGAAGCGATTACGTCAATGGTTTCATTTCCGAGTATATATAAGAATATCCCTTGACGGTGCGTCAAGGTGCATCAAACAAAATGCGGCCACCGTTGAGCGCATTATAGGAGTAAATATAGTAAGACGGTGCCCGTGCATACTCGAAATTACATATACTTGATATACATTGCCACCAGTAGAAATCACAGCGGCATAAGCAATATCATCTCTTATTAAACGTACAAGTTGTTCCAATACGTAAGATTGTTAATGAAGCTAACTGCGAGCAACTAGAGTATATATATATATACATATATATATATATATATATATATATATATATATATATATATGTAACTATAGTGTATATATACATAATTCTATTGACTGCTAATCAAGTCCCCGAACTCATAGCGACAGCCGTCAAGATATCTCTTGTGACTGCCATCTTGTCCAAAGTGTTTCTATGTATGTCCACCGTTTAAGTCCCGTTTGCCCCTTCTAGAATAGCTACTTTTGCTGAACAGATATTATCCTCAGTCCTGACTACGGGACAAGAAGCTCAGTCTTCTCATCAGTGCCGTCCAGAATACGGAGTGCTGACCTCTTCCACAACGGCCCACGTCTGCTTAGTGACTCTTTTCGTACCTGCAAATCCCGGCCAGGTCCACTGCGCTTAAAAGCGATTTCTAACGGATGCGTGGTATCGTGGTAAAACAACACTCCGAATTAGCCCAATATGATGTAAAATTCATCTTCAAAAACGTCAACTAACACCAGGATGTTTATCACGATACGTATTAGTAAACCATACATTTAGTTTAAGTTACAATCATGGCCGAGATCTGTGAACGGTGATTACTATCTTTTTACTTGTTACTCTACGACGAGAGCGTCACAACGCAGACTGTTCACAGGGTCGTTGTACATAAGTGCGAACCTATTTCATAGAATACAGTATATCATTTATTGTGTAGCAATTTCAATTAATACTTACATCTATTGTGACCCATGCAGCAGCGCGCATAATCATTCAGCTTCCGCGTACCTTCTCTCCCTCCCTGTCTGCCGCGTCATTGGGTCTGGGCTGGCCCTATAACAGTTAATTTCTTTTAGTATGTATGTGACTCCTTCATTTGAGACGAAACGGCCCGACGCACTGCTTTATAACATGGCTGTTATATCTCACTTTATAACAATTGACAAATGGCCAATGCAAACAGCAAACTCAATTGGAAGTTCATTAAAGTTTCATTCACTCAATTGATGCTCAATGCATTTGATGCAGTTTCTCCATAATTTTATCCTGTAGAGTAGGAGCCATAAGGATATGTAAAACTTTGCTGGCAAATACATACATTATTAATAGTCTATGATATTTGTAGATCGCCAAAAAACCATGGAGGGGGAGTTGAATGTACATTCTGATATTTGATATTGAATAAGGGGTCGTTTGTCCGTAGACAGAAAAAGATGGATGCTATCTTTTAGTTTGCCCCCTTGATAGCTGCCTCTAAAAAAAAGAGGTGTGCCGCAACAGTAGAGACGTGTCTATGTGTACGTATACATGATGTGCAAGAATAGTTATAGACTAATATTAATTAGATAGATTGTGTAACAAAACGGGACCTTCGCTTCACGGAAGCCGCTGGCAGCGTTACTGGGGATCGTCCGCTAAGCTCTAGATGCGCTTGCTTCCGTGACGATAATGTTCTCTTGCTACTGTTGATGGTAGCAGGCCAAAACCAAAAGCGCTTCGACAGCGACGAACCGTAAAGGTAGGGTCCGAGCAGCAAGACAGGACAGAATGACGGGTTGGCACGCTATAAAATGTTTACGATGGCTCTATTCATCTCGAAGTAGCCTGAAGCTAATGCAGACGAACCCAGCTCTGTACTTGGGATAATAACTGAGTCCCCTGATGGTCTCTGGTAGAATTGCACTAGAAAACCACTTCCAGCACCTGTAACTTCGTGGTCCGAAACAGGTGCACCACTAGTAAGCTAAACCTTTTCCGTCTACTGCAATGATTGATATGATTTTGTTGCTATAACCTCTATTTATTTGAATCTTAATAAAGCTGTATCGCATTCTCAACTACTTCACATGAAACTCCGTAAGGTTGACAGAAAAGGAAATTTATTTTTTATAATTTCTCCAAAATCGCGAATTGAATCTCAATAAGAAAGACAATTAATGTTCATTGATAAGAAACTGAAGTGCATGAAGTGTAAAAGTACCATTCCTAGAGGGTAGAAGCCCTACTAAAGCATTGGTAAAATGTAAATAAATTGTCGTCCCATTGGGTCTCTTAACTATGATTATGCACAGCTCGTGCTAGGACCCCCTATTGAAAATAATCAGAGTAAGGATTCAAGATGATGCCAATTCTAAAAGCTTATCTGTCGTCACCTATCGTTTGATTGGCATCATCGTTGCCGTTCATATAGAGATTACGTCATACGAACGTATTCGGACAGACGAAGACCTACCAATGAACACCTTTAACTATAGCGCTAACCGTATAATACCATAGTTGTTTGCCGGATCAATGATTCTCTATACGCTGCCCCTGAGCGATGGTTGAGCTGGTGCCAAGCCGTTGTACATCGGTTTTAAACAAGGATGTGTTGCTCTTTTTGGTCGACTATTGAAAAATGTAAAAAACTTTTTGTAAACATATATTGTTTAGAAGTTCATTCACATTGAGTTTATTATAACACATAGACATAGAAGCACTAAGATAATGAGACGTCTTATTACTACAGCGTGGCCTTCCCGCGCGTTAAAGAGATCAGCGTCCTGCTTTTTCATAGTTGGTCATCACAGGACCTTTCGTGGTGTCGCTGGCAGTTATTGAACAAGTTTCTCAAATGGCGAATGCTACGGCGCTATCGGCCAAAATCACAAGTTTTTTTCCACACAGTAGCGAAAATAGGTTTTCAAATAAGTTAGTGTTTCTTTTCGTGTTGGCCACTTAGTACCGCACTGTTCGAACACAAAAGCAGTTAGTACAATCTAACCGCAGCGGCTTCGCCTGAAATTGAGATACCTTTTTTTTCTTTTTTTTTTTTTTATTATTCCGGTAAACTGAAGCTATTGAATTAAACAAGAACGGGCCTACTTTAAGCCCTTATATATATATATAAGGGCTTATGTAAGAAGCTTACTTGAAGGAGGCCCGTTTTTGTTTGTCCAAACAGTATCAACAGGCTCTTACAGGTGTTCTAAATTATTGTCCTTCTAATTAGTTTAGGGCTGATAATGGTAAGCCATAAATTTACAAACAGACATTTTTTTAATTTGGTGTTTGGCCGCAGTATTGATCAATTGTGGCTTTGAAATTTTCCAGTGTCTTCGGTCTGTCAGCGTAGACCTCATCTTTGAGATACATCCATCAGAAAAATCCATCGGTGTCGGGTCTGGAAAACGTGCAACGACTCGCCAAGATATATCACGATTATTGTTGGAAGTAAAGTTTGCCATTTTTACCACAATTCTCCCAAAAATTCGTGCTAAAAGAGATTCTTGCTGTAAACTCAAGGAATTGACACCAGTGACTATACCCTCAAAGGCGAATGATTGGATTAACTCTTTGTTCTTCTGGTAAATTTTCACAACGTTGCTATATTATCTAGTAATTAAAATTGTGTGGAATAATTATGCTGTTTAATTAATTAAAATGCAATTTTATAATTTAAAACAATGCTGTCTGGAAACAGCGCACCTTGTTCATATTTTTTTCTATTACCACAAGCAGAATTTTTTAGTCCGGATCATCTTCACTGATGGCATGTGTTATTGTTTGAAGGTCATATTTTCATAAAGAACGCCGTACAATACGATAGACGCTTGATTTACCCCATGCTACGCTCATGAATTGATTATTCTTCGGTTGAACTCTATGGATTGGGAACTTCATTAATAATTAAGAAAAAGTTAATGGACATCCTTAACCGTTCCGTCAGTTTTATACCAACCTTTCATCCGATACTATCTTCGTATTTCTGCTATATGCCCATACTTTCAATAACATTCAAAAATAAATCTTCCTTGGGCAATGTTAACCTCTATCCGCTTATTATATTTAAGTAAGTGCGCCCCAAAAAAAGGTCAAAAGAGAATAAGTACATATATTGCTGCAAATTGCTACCGGCAAACTATGATTTCTTTGGCCTCAGACAGCCCTTTGTATACCAATTCGGATCGTACTCACCTAAAATTCATCGATAAATTATGATATAACTAATTTTCTTAATGCGTACCTTTACATTCGGCTGCGATGTCGGAGTATGTTCCCTAGCCAGCGGGGGTACCTAAACCCGATAGCTTTATGACATGGACCCCCAAGAGTAAGTGGCATATGGTAAAGTGGCTGCAACTTCTTGGAGATTTCCGCGGGGCAGAGAATTCGAAGCGATATTCAAAGCACGCTTTTATGTGGTGTCGCCGGTTCCGCAGTAGTTTATGCGCGCTGTTTCGCGACACTCTGTCTTCTGGCATTTCCACAGCCACAAAGCTTTCCGAGCAGTACGGCCCAAGAGCGGAAAGACAGTTCGAACAGCGTCCTGCTCAGGCCCGCTGTATTTCTGCTGTAGGTAGTCTGCAATCGGCCATGATGGGAAGCATATCGCTTCGTTGGTCAAGATAGCGCCAAAGCTCCTGAAGAAACACTGCGTAGCTTCTAGCGCTTGGATCACGATACCCGATGTCGCCCTCCGGACTGACACGAGATACGATAATCGACCACACCAAAACTGGAAAAGCCTTAACGCTTGAGAACTTTAAAAGGCCTTATAAGATCGCTCCTTCATTTTTTCAAAGGAGCGTCATTGAGCCGGAATTAGATGGAGAGTATCGTGCCACTCTGGGTCTCGGTTACGCCGCTGGCAGACCTCGAACCAGATCAGCAACTCCCAGACGCACGTTGTAAGCTCGGGTCAAGCCTTCTCTAGCGTGTTGTTGAACGTTCATTGGGCCTCCCGGCCGTACCACGCTCACTACGACTCACGGATTCAGACTCGTTTTTACTCGACGTTTTTAAGCTTCAATACTTACGGGAAAATCTTCGAAATTCGCCGCAACAACCCCGGTGCGATACTTGATGACATCATCACTCTCACAAGCATTTTTGACATTTCTTAGAAAAACCTTGAAGACGTATAGTAGTGCAAACTCGTCTATCAGGAAGCATAAATGAATGCATGAAAACCTTCCCCTGGCGCCCCCTACAGATACTGTACTCAGATGAATTGGAGGCCATTTACAGTAGACCTTCATAAAATGCGGCAACAAATCTAGAGAAAAGCCAAAGAACATACCCACCATGAAATTTAATGTGTGACACTTTCGATGCAATCCTGAAACCATATATGTATGTCCGAAACAAACAGACCTCACAGCACGGTATGGGTGTGATATCTATTTAATAAAAATGTATATACATTCTTCATACTTTCCTATTTATCTGTGTAGAGACTGGATGGTATGGTACACTGCATTTTAAATTAAAAAAAAGCTGTACAAGTGGGAAATTGTTAGGCAAAACATCACAAATGATTTGAGTGGTACTATAAACATTCAGCTGCCAGTGTAGGCATATAATGATGTAATAATTGATGTTTAATGAATATTGTATTGAGCTTACCATCCATAATACCGTTAAGTGGCCATGCTTGGACGGGGATGCAGCTTGAAACGTTGTAAGCTTCAAGACGTTTACTGTTGTTGTTAGTACAGCTCTCTGAGTCTAGATCCGTCTCTTTCTCATACCGACTTGAATACGCAACAGGGTGCAAAGGGAACCTAAAACAGATGTAAATTTTTCAAGCGATCTTAGTCTCGCCGTCCTTGACCCGCCCATTTTTTTGGAATGACTCAGAAGCAAGGATAGAAGTCGCAGGTTCCACCTGAGCTTTTTGGATAGGTAAGATGAGTTTTCTCTATAACCCACTACATGTATACACGTAGGCTCCTATAGCACTACATATAGGATTCTTATATAACTCTGTAAGAATCTATAGTTTTTACCTTAAGGAGCACTATAGTTTTCAGCCATGACGCCCAACGGAACGAGAAAACTTTGCTTGGGGACCAAGGTAACCCTAACTGCAGTCGTTTAGCAGCACTATTTAAAACACCGAAAACATGAAAATCGATGCTTAGGTTATACACCAAGTTTAATGAAGTGATTCCCTAATTATCTAAGACAACACATGTGCGTATATTGCTGATTGTAAAAACACCGATTGAACGAAGCTTACCAATATTTTGGTCAGTATACAACAATGATATGTGCTACTAACATAGCTTACATGTTCCTAAGTGTTTTTTGTAAGTCTTCCCGTATTTTTTCCTAGAACTTTTTTTTTAAAGGCATGTATATTAACTTTGTCCACAGAATTACAACACAGCATAAAGCATATATTTCACGTACGATCACACCGGCATCGCGTATCCTTGAGGCCATAAGCTTCTGCCATAAGCTTCAACTGTGACCGGCAGTCTTTAGAAAACAAGAAATAGCCTTTGTGTTGAGAAGGAGCTAGTTTCGAATGACAAAATAAGTCTCGAGGCGGTTACAGAAAAATTACTTCCATGATGAGAGCAAAGTCTGCAGTTCGCTAGTGCGACTTTTGCGGACTCGTCACCTGGTGGGATAGAAATTGAGTTGGCGCTCCTCCTCAAAACCTTAGCCTAAAGTTGAAGGTTATGAATCGGGTAAAATGTGTACAGACCCTTCATATGCAACCTTCGGCTGTACGATAGCAACGGTTGGCCCTTGATTGAGAGCTGCTGCTCGGACTGTAGCATAGAAAAATCAATCAATTAGAAAACATTAAACTTTGCTACTAAATCATTTCAAACAACGTAAGCCTATAGTGGGGATCATTTTAAGGGAGAAGATTAATGAATAGAAGAAGATGTAAGCATTTCTCGATGCTGATTAAATCGTGACCCTTCCGAGTTCAGTCTTTGATGCTACTGAATATACGGCATGGCAAACGTGTGAAATATGTTTGAATGCTTTCTTGCTTGGGAAAGTAGGATAGGCAGTAAAATATTGTAGATAATTAAAACATATATAGCTGATACGGCCATTTTATGCTGCCTTTAAAATGCCTGATATGATCATTGAAGATTAATACATGCGGCCCGGGTTCCCAATGAAGTCAATTTTAAATTTCTAGTAAGCGTAAATTACTTCGTTAATCTCATTCTGTTGACGAATAATCTTAATTCAGCGATGTAAACGACCCTCATTTGCGTAGCCGTATATTTACACTAAACCCGTGCTCATAGTTGATTTAGTTCTTCTGGTAACGTTACTTAGCTTGGGATTGTCAATATGACAGAACGAGGAATTAGTTATATGACTCAGACAAGGGGCGAAATTGCCCCCCGATGGTTTGCCTGACAGGCCCTCAAGGTGATTCTGAAAAGAATAGAAGCCTCAAAGAATGTTAATTTTAATTTTATGTCATTTAGCAGATAATCGCATGAATATTCGTAACATTTGCGCCCTAGAGGGTGAAAACTAGCATAAAAGATTCTCGAGGAAATGCCTTAGGGCAGTATAAAAATTGTCTTAAAGGCAACTTCAAAAGTTGCCCACGTACACTTGCGTTTACTCTTTACCCGTACAGCGCGCTGGCGCTTGCACAGCCCTAATTAGGACTTCGTTAGGAACACGTATATTTTATAGCTTCCTGTCGTTTGAACAGCAGGAAAATATTTGCAGGGGTGCGGACGTAGAATAACCTCACGGATCAGCAACCACATATCGTGCATAGATAATGAATTCTACCAAAGAAAATTCTCTATAGCTGACGCCTACTAAAGGCAAACCTAACACTGGCTTCGAGACAGGACACACACCTGACAAACACAAAACGCGTCGGCCCTTTAGACCACATTATCAGCCTTTATTGGCATAAGATTATTTCTTAAATATATTTCGCTTTGTTGATTAGTCTTGTTATTCCTATAGGTTATGCTTCACTTTGCTCGTGCCATTAGGTTTAAGGACAGCTCAATCATTTTACAATTAAGAAGTTTTTCGCAAACATCACAATGCCTACATGTTTCAACACCAGTGTAGTAACTTGCTCCTCTCTTAAAGATAGCAATGAAAATTCATGCGATATTACTGTTATTGAACATGTGGGCGAATATAAGCAGAGGAAAAAATATGTCAGGAATTTGAATTTAGGCGCGTTCCTTTAAATGATTATTCGGGTTCAGAGCTTGACGCGGTAAGGCGATGTACTGCTGCATGCCTTTTTCTGCAAGTTAGCTAGAGAAAGAACAAAGTTTAGGAGTACAAATCATATATGCGTATACATATTGGTCGACTTTTAGAAGGCGACTACTGGCTTAAAGGTACTCCCACCGGAAAACACGTGTTTTATCAGTATAATTAATACGATGACCAGAGTATGGGGAAAGCGACTGCCGGTTTGACAATCAACCCACAAAGATCAGAACAACATTGTAAATGCAATATCTGCTGTGCTTTCTACAATACAAAATAGTTTCTTAAAATTTAACATTTCTGTTCACATTAAGAGAACGTGCAAAAGCATGTGATCACATCTAAATCTACGAAAATATAGTAGACTTTTTAAGAATTGTACAGTCTTATGCAGAGCAACATGAGACTTCGGCGATGGTGCCGAAAACCGGTGGCAAATGAAAACATCACTAGAGAATTCTTCGGATCCCCTCATTGTTGCAAGGTTCCAAATGTCCCCAGGTTGCAAGACAGTTCCCGACAATCTGCACCCAATATAACTCCACAATATTTCAGGAGGTTATTTTCGGTAAATTGTCTCAGATATGCCGCAAATGTACTTACACAGCTTACTACTACTATCGATGATCATGAAAGACACCGGCTCTTCCCTCCCCCTCCCCCCCCCCGCGTTCCCGACCCCCGCCTGATAAGGCAAGTGAATTGCTTAGTATGGCTATCAGTACCAGCTTTAAAGGCAACATGCCGTTTGTGTTGCAGTGTTATTGTAACGACTTCCTTATTACTATTCTCTCTTTTCAAATGAAGCACTGCATCGTCGTTATTGTCCTGTAACACTTACCGTAACCCAGCGCGAGAACTTGGATATATGCTATACGATGTATGGCTGACCACCGCCGTAACGCTTGCAATATTTCAGAGCTGTTGGCAACATACGAAGTGGAAAGTAAGAGTCAGATGCCCTTTCTTTCAGGTCTTTCCTTCCTTAGATCCTTTGAACCTCAACCTAGCTCTGCTGCGACGCCTGTCGGACGGACCCTTCTATTGACCTAATGGCAGAAGTGTGGTCGCCGTCGTTTCTATTGTGTGTGGCTTGATATTTGCCCTCTATAGCCGTTGGGTTACAGTTACTGCTGCTTTTGTTACCGCCGTTCAGTCTACAGAGTTATTGCTCGTTGCCGCGACATTACGACGTTCAAGAAGAGAGAAAAGGTCAAATTGGGTTCAGTCGCGTCCTACATTCTGTTTTTGAGTTGTCACGCAAAAGACAACGGCGATGGGTGGCGAAAACGTTTCTCAAACGTCCTCTAGTGGACATCGTCATCATCTTAATATGGATGCCACAAATCGTGCGCTTTTCTCCGTTTCCGTTTCAACAGACGCTTTTGTTCTGTCCGAAACAGAATCATCATGCAAGCAGTGGCTTGCCAGTTATAGACGAAGTATAACCATGCTATCAGCTAATTTTTTCCCTATGGGAATAGCTATGCCGCGTAATGATGATCTGGCAGAGTCTAGAAAAAAAGAGCCTTATTTGTCTCGGCGCTTATACATCTGTTCGAAAAACCAGAGTGGCTTAGAGGCTTTAAATCTCTACGAAAACGAATCTTTGCAGCGAGAAATTCTTCACCTATCTTAACGATCCATAAACGAACCGAACTATGTCGATTCGGTACTTTAGATTTCAAAATTTCGATGATTTCCCATTAACGAGACACCGAAAGATGGGCACAGCTTAGTAACTATATTTCGACGGTGTTCGTTGTTTTAGTACTAAGCAATGTCTTAGCTAGTTGAACGCTTTTTCAACGAACTAAGAACTCAGGGTCACCTTCAATGCCGATAGAGCCATATTTGCGTCATTCGAATACTTGCAAAGGGACTATATTTATTATTGTTTTTGTCAGTGTTAGCTAGTACTATACCTTCCTTAGACTTACTTCCTTAGAAGTTGCTAACTATAGATTTTAGTATCCGATCTGTTGTTAACAGGCCACGAAGTGAGTGATGAGTAAACAAATGTTGCTTGCGGGTGTTGGAGAGTCAGCGAACAGCAAGTCAAGACAACTGCCATTACAAAGCCTATGTGCTGTCTAAACAATTGTGCAGGACTCAAAAAGTGAGCTAATTTAGCTAGATACAAAATAACCATTGCGAGCTATCTTTCGCCTTCCGTAATGGTAACCGGACGTGAAACAAAGCGCTAGACAATACATGCACGAGCGAAAACGTGCGTCCGCTTCGTTCTAAATAAACAATATTTTATTAATGAACACGAAACGAGTCGGCGTATGCTAAGGTGCCATTCTTACTTCGGTGTCTAAACTGCTCACGTCAGTTTTTTGAAGGAGCACGACTCTTTTCTGTATGCAGTGCCGTTACGCGTAATGGATCCTAAGAGCGAATCACTCTGCCGCTCAATTCGCCTTTGGCCTGAAAGAAGGAAAATGCATGAGCCATTTCATTCAAAAACAAACGTAACCCTCATAATAGAATGTCTCGTGGTTGAAGACCATCATGCGTTGTTGCTGTTGTGCCAGAATAAATGGCAGCGAAAGCCTTACGGTAAAAGATTGCCACCCTACTTTAGAATTCTTAATACATTGGTCTCCACGACACGTTTGTGCTTAATCGATGGAACTACGACAAGCTGTTTCTGCGACCCTTTCGAAAGCCGATCCGGTAAAATCTTGCCGTCTAACCGACTAGGGTGTGGCCCTTTCCATACAGAACATATTGATCTCATAAGCTGCTCTAAAGTAATAGCCATATGGAATCAATCTAAACAGGATTTTAAATGTCAAGTCAACACTGTAAAAACAAGATGTAGAAATCAACGAAAGGCTAAGATTTCACGTGGCGGATTTCATACACATGCAATAGGTATTCTGTTTTAATATGTTTCAAAAACAATAACGTCATTGTATTGCTTTTCTTTTTTAAATAGACTATAATATCTAGATACCATTATTAAGTAATATTACCTGCTCCATCGTGGAAGCCAACGACAAGGGTTGTACGGATTAAATCGAAACTCATTTTTACGGTAAGCTGACATTGAACAATCAGGTAGCTCGAAAAGTTCTTCAGCAGGATTCTCGGATAAAGATCTAATATATTCTTTTGCAACATGATATAGTATAAATGTCCCGACTGGAAGAAAACCACGGTGGTCGGTACGATTGAGTGATCAGTCTTCCAATCATCTCTCGCCACAATCGTCCATATAGTCTCACCCGATATTTGACTTCTGTGAGTTTGGGCCTCATCGGTCGATAGGGGAAATGTTGGTGAGCTTCGAATCTGGCAAACGTTTATGCCTTCTTATGTACCTTGAAAGCTTTATTAGTTCCAAATATGTAAATGAAGACGATTTTTATTTAAAGTAATCAATTGCGAATAAAACCTTCTATTTGTGGTGTGGCTTTTTACGGACAGAATAGAAATAAATAAATGTGTCCATATTAATTACTTACTATAATACACCATATGCAACATAGGATTAGCGTAACGTACGAGTTCTTATTCTTTTTTTTTTCTCACTGAATTTTCATAATAGACACATACGTTTTGTGCATTTTCTGTGACTCTGTACGAGTCTCGTCTATCTCTACAGCAAGCTATCTAGTGCTTCTTTTCTCTCCAAGCAAACTACTCATTGTGCAAACATTCAACAAGTTACTATAAAATTTACAATGGGATGAATTTAAACGATGAGGGAAATGATTCAACTTTGTCATAACGGCAAAAATCGACTCTTGTTTGCGACCCTGTCTATCTATATGATTTCTAAACAAAATTTCTCATCTGGTCCTACGAGTTATGTAAGCGTAATAAGTTATGTATATCTAAGAAAGTTAGAGAACACAAGAGGAATGTAAACAACTAGGATTCAAGCGCGAAAGTCTGCTGAGAGCTAGCTATTGCTTTTCCTCTAGACCCATCCACTATCAAGTTGCGTACCCATCCTTAATGACTAGAACTTCCATTGGGTAGGCGAAACGCCCTTGAGGCATTGCTTTTCTCTAATGACCAACTACCCCATTTTTACTATTTTAGTCATTTTCATTTTTTGGGAAATCTTTGTATGGCCATGGAAGCCAAAGCAAGTTCCTATGTCTATATAATCTCATATAGGAGGAACAGTTCAACTTCCTAGGGTAGCAAATATCTAACAAACAAATGTTTTAAGTTTCACGTGTAACGTTTTTATGCCGTTAAGCAACGAGGTGTGTATACACGTGGTTTCGTTAAAAGTTCTTTAGCTCTGAGGATTCTGGCCTTATATATCTATGCAGCAATCCAGCAGTGTAGTGCAGTATGTCGCTGTGTATTACTACAATAGTTCAAACTTAAATAAAATGTTCGTTTCAGAACCCGTATTAAAAGAAATGAACCATTTTCTGCCTACTGACATATGAGACACTAGGTAGCCTTAGAACCTAGTTCCGGATTTCCTAACAGGCCTTGGAGACGGACTAACGCGTTCATTGGGTGACACTAGAGTTAGGATTACGTGGGCGAAAGACCGATGTGGCTTCTCTATCGGATAACGGTATCGCTATACGACGAATCACTGAAGCTAAGCTCATTATGACCTATAATACAGCGTTTTAATATGCTATAAACATTCGTAAAACACTAAAAAAAAAAAATCAATAACTCTCATAGTAAACCAATGATTTTTTGTTGACTTTCGCCTGCGTTCTGAATACTACGGGAATTGGTGAGGCTTGCAATCGTTAGAATAGTTTCATCATATCTGCATTGTCCGACGCCGCGTAATACTCACCGTTCCCAGGTTAGGTAATATTTGGCTTGGTAATATGGAACACACCAATGGCGTAAGCTGCTTTCAGCACGACCGCCACCGTTAATGTGAGCATTCGCTGAAAAGAACCCTCAAAGTCTTCTCAAAGCGTCTTGAGATCGCACGATAATTATGTACGGCGTCTACCATCGGTCTTCTCGAGTAGTTCTAAGCAGTGTAAATGTACAGTTTAGCAATCGCTCTTAAGGACGCGATTTATATCGCTAAAAACCAGTGAATATGTTTACGAGGCTCATGGCTGAGCCAAATATCTGCTAAACTATGATTTAAGTGTATAATGATATTTTTAATATTATACTCAAATTTATTGGTTATTTATTGGTTATTGTTCTCATTCACTGACTGTTCGGAGCTGCCTAACGATACGAGGTTCGTCCCTCTATACTGAATTCAGTCAAACCTAGTGCCTTTAAAAGTCAAGGCCAAAAAATGTTAAATACAATTTTACTTTGCTGCTGCTTAACAAAGTTAGATATGAAGTCCATATGCCAAGAACTCAGAACCATAAGGCCTCAAACTCCAGTCCCATATGACGTTCGCAAGTTCATGATATATCCTATCGCCAGCACTTTGGCTTGTTACAGTACATTTATATGTATACATGTATAAATACTTTCCATGTTTTTTTTTCACTACAGCAACGATAGAAAGATCTTAAAAGTAACAGCAATGTTTTCATTAAGTGCAGCTGAATTGACGTGTTAATGAGGAAAAATACATTCCTTATCTTTCGACAGTCTAAACCCGCTTACTGTCACATACCTGCAACAAAAATACCTACCAGTAATGTAGTTTTAATATTATGCACTATTCCTAGATCTGTCAGTAATGCCCCCTGGTTCTGCTTACTTTCTCCATTTCCTGAGTACCATTCTCGACACTTCTTTCAGTTGTCTATGAGTTCGTTGCCATCGCGGACAGGTTGCTGTCGCTTTCTTTCCTTAAGAGGTCGGAATAGTCAGGTGAACCTTAAGGTCATAGTAAATGGGTTGCCCGCTTGTAGTGAGCTTCCCCGCCCGTTTTTCCCCACTGTGTATGCCCGCCTGTGCGTGCGTGCGATCGTAAGCAGTGCTTGTTTCTTCGTCGGTCTTTTTCTCGCTTTCTCACGTATTTTTATCTAACCAACTCGGTCATTTTTTGCCTTTTGCTCCTTTCATTACACCGGCCGTTATTACCTATACACGCTAGAGCGTTACCGACTACCAAGGTCGGCATCTGGCAAACAGCTAAGAATAGCTGAGAGATTTTTGGTTGCTGTTACGAAAACCGACCGGGCTTTCATGCACATTCTGGTCGAGAAGCCGAGTGGGCTTTTCCTCTTTTGTTTTAGCGAAAGTAGCGAGGCTCAACGGTGGCAACGGCGTAGGCAGCAGTAGGGCTTCTTGGTTTGATCAAGGACTCTGGGTTTTTAGGTCGGAGAGAGGATGGTCTTGAGTCGAACTGAGGGACAACGGAGCGACGTAGGCTCGTTCATGTCTGAGGCTTTTGTTCTATTTGTTCT